CAAAACATTATGTAATTATAAAGTGACAAAAATAATTTAACAAATGAATAGCCACAAAATTCTAAATTTATTGGCTTTTTTTTCCTTTCACAAATTGTGGTTCAGCAAAACATTAGCGGCAAATGTTTTTGTGAGGTATTTAAAAGTATTTATCTGGCGCTCATTTTTTTAAGAACAAAAACATTTTTGTGTAAACCACATATAAAAGTTATCCTTTTGTAAAATAAAAATGCTTGAGTTGAACTTAAATAAAAAAATCTCATAAAGAAACATACACAGTATACCTCAGAAACTCACCCAAAGGAGCGATCAGTGACATTCTCCATTTTATACTGGATTTGTTCATTKAATTTTGCAATTCTGTCCACATTTTCTGCATCACAGAAATCATAGGGAAATATAAATTATATTTGCAATATTGCCAATATTTTTTTGTACTTGTAGAATTTTTGGTGCATCTTTTTAGTGACTGTTATTGACTGGGGCTTATACGGCAAGCCAAGAGGTCTTTACAAAATCTCAGTCTTTATTTTATTATTTAAAATATTATTTATTTCAAAAATGCACATTGACATGCCAAAATGTTTGTCTATCAGTTGTGGTCAAAAACTGACATTTAAATAAAAGACAACAAGAGTACTAATATTTAGCACTTTAATCAGAACATCATCAGTGGCTGCTGAAATGAATAAATTTCAGACTTGGTCTTGTTGGCATGTGTGTTAGGATTTTAGGATTTAGGCAGCAGAATGTCATGGGTGCAGCTTTTATTAGTTGTGTCTCAAAGCTGTTTAGCACAGTAAATTTGTCGCACCAAGTTTAAGCAAAGCCCAGTGAACTAAAAAAAATAAAAACAAAGCTTAGCTYCACATCTCTACATGCCCGTAGAAGGAAGCACACTTACAGTAGACATCCACCCTGATGGATTTGATGGCTGGAGAACCGAGGCCATTCTCAGCCTTGCAGTAGTAGCGCCCACCCTGGTTCCTCAGGATCTTTGCAATGACCAACGTCTCATTGAACACACTGGAGTCTTGGAAGCGATCTGAAACACTGCCAGCTGTCTTCGTCCATCGAATCTGAGGAAAGAAAAAAATAAATAAATWAGAGCTGCAATAACAACATATTTAGACTTCCAGCTCACCTTCAATTTCAGAGGTGGAGCAATGTAACACAAAGACAAACATGGCTTTAAGAATGAAACCATTATAGATGAACAAATAGGAACAATTAAAGACTTAAATAACTACAAATACTAAGAACTTGGTTTAACATTTCCATTGTGTTCACTTTGAATTAACTGCTACATAGAAAAGAATTCCAACCAAAAGGCAAATATTGACCAGGAAGGAGGATTCTCTACTGCAGGCCTATAATTCTTCTTCTACCGACATGATACAACTGTAACAGTCCRGGTGTCTAGGATTACTCCTAAAGTGGTTGTTTAAGTTTAGACAAAACATTTATTTAGATCAGTAAAATAAAGATATTTATAGGGTTTTGGATATAGTACATTTCAAAGAAGATTCAAGTACAGGGTTTTTTTGTGTAACATCTTGGTATAATGGCACACACTGCAAAATAAAACTGTTCTCTTTTGTGACACCATGCCAAGCATTGATTTGACAGGTAAAAAGATCCTCCTGTTACTTCTCTCCTCTGTCATCTGTTTCACACAGGACTGACGCCCCGTCAACACGAGGACCTTTCACTAACTGATGAGACCCAGTTAGCCCATGGCGTTGAAGTGTAATGAAAGGTGAAATAGTGTTACTCTCTAACATGAGGCTKTAATTGACTCTCAATCATCTCCCTTTCCTGTTCTCATTAAAGCATACAGCATGAGCAGGTACTGTGATGACTCGGGCCTGTGGGGAGGATGGGAGGGAGACATGGCTAGGACCAAGAAGTAGAAAGCTCAGTTCAGTCCTGAGTAAACCACAGATGGACTGGCTTTAGCTGCAGAGCCTCACATTTTTCCATCTAGGCAGGGGAGGTTATGAATTTAAATCCAATATCTCCACTCTGTATGGTGATAGCATCATCTTGGATGCTGATAACATCCCATTTTACAGAGATAGCATCGGATGGGACAGGATATCATCACATGCAAGGATGGGGATTGGGTGCTATCACAGAAATATTGCTTCTACGTCGCTCCAGCTCCGGTGGGGGGGGAAGGGGGGGGGGGGCTTAACCACGGCAGCTCCAGCCTTAGGTTATGACAATTTAAACTTTGCTTATATTTCAGTCAGATGGGGAAGGAAGAACATAAAGGGTCAGAGGCCAAAAAATATATTTATTTTTTTTCTAATTTTAAGCTTTAGGGCAGAGGTGTCAAACTCATTTTCACCGAGGGCCACATGAGAGTTATGGTGGTCCTTGAAGGGCCAGTTGTAATG